TTCCTATCACTGTCTTTATAGCATATCTCGACTGCCGTGCTCCTTCTCGCGGCGCACGCAGCGTTGGCTGCATCTATTTTCCCACTCCCTTTTTGTTATCTGGGGGACAACGCGCACCTTTGCGGGGGATCGCCTCACAGGTCTCTGTTCATTCCTATACTGAGTACCACCGTCTGCTGAAACGTCAGAGTTCGGAGCGTCGGCTTTGCTCCATTCCAGGTACGTACGCATTTCACAGGCCTCGAGCAAAACGCGTGCCGACCTGTCATTTTTAAGTCCGTTCAGCCAGTCCCCCCCCCGATCTGAGCTCTACCCCTCGAGGGTCAGCCTCACGAATCATCTGGGTCTGGAAAGTCGATGCATCGAGTTTGCTAACAGCTCTATTGCACATGTAGTCGTCGAGCATGGCTTTCCCGAACACACTTAGTGGACGTATGGAAGAACTGCGCTTTCCCAGCCTGCGGTCCCCGGACGCCGAAAGCCCATACAGTTCGAATGGCTCCTCTACACGAGAACAAAATCCATTCTTCTCAAACATGCACTCTTCGTCCAACGATGCCCGTGCAAGCCTCCAACGTCGCTTCACAACAGACTCGAGTAAGATGCCTGTGGCCAGACCGTTTGGTCAGCAATATACGTCCATGAATTCAGCCGCGGTATGTCACCTTTTCTGTACAACGCTTAGTGTGATGTCAGGCTGTGATGTTTGAGAAAGGAAACAATAGGACATTGTGGAGCCAAGTCCTGGTTGTGAAGTGAATTTTGGTCTCAGATCCTCTAAACACCGCTGGCAAAACCATGATCCTTCGTTTGTCACGATCTCTTCTACAATTTACACTATCCAACAACTTTTACACATCTCTTTGCCTTGAACGCGAAACTTCTGGTTATCATCATGGCTGACAACGATCCACAACAGGCGAAGAACAAACAAATGTACGATGATATTCAGAATGCGAAGCGTAAGGCGGAGGAGCAGTTGCGGCTCCTGGAGCTACAAGAACGGAGCCTTCAGATGGGAGCCTCTACTCAAGACCTTGAGCGGATCTCTACCCGTATGAATCGAATCAGCCTCAACGGACCTGTCAGCGAGCCCACCACCCCTCCTGAGTATGCCGAAAGTGGTTTCAGCAATCGGTTCTCGCGCTCTAGCAGACTCTCTATGAACAGTATCATTTCACCCCCAGGTCTCAGCAAGCGAGTCTCTCAATCTAGCTCTCAAGTCACCTCACCCCCAGCAAATCGGCTATCGGGGAACGGCATTTACAGTCAAGCTCAGAAACCATCTGCGAAATCAGTGCCCGGATCTCGACGAGGGTCAGATGAGGACGAATATTATCCCGAGGACTTGCCTACCACTCGAGCTGCTGCTACGTAAGTTGACTGGAAGTTTCAGTTCATCCTCACCTTCCCCTGGTCTACCTTCTCCTATAATAGTCTTCCCAGAAGCACGTGAATAAGGCTTCACTTTTTCATCTCACATCGCTTCACCGCTTGGCGACAAATCACGTTTCTTTTTGATCCATTCAACTCAACGCCTATCTACCTCATTGCTCTTTGTCATTATTAAGGAGAACAAGCCTCTAACCTCTTTGACGTCCAGGTTCAACCGCTTCTCTATGCCAGTCAATAGCAGTCGTCATCCCCAACGTCTCAGTGTCAGTGGCACTGGTGCCAATTCATTTGGTCTTGCAAACACTACCAGCTTTCTCTTTGACGAAGACGATGATAAACTGCACCCACTTGACTTGACTTCCCCTATTGCAAAGGCCTTTGCGCAGCTTGAGGGTGACGACACCTTCCCAACATTGACCAGTGACGGCCTCAAGGTATGTTATTCACCTCACTGCTCTTCCAGGCATGAGCTCACTCTTTATCAAAGCTTTCTGCAAACTCAGCTGCTTTGGATCTCGCAAATTCCAAGACACCAGATCTTGACTGGACTCTTGGATCTCGCTACAGACCAGCTCATCAGAGCATGCCTCATACAGACTCTTCCATGTACAGACCTGTTCTTGCCAATCTCAACCTCAGCAGCCCACCTGCAGACCGTCCAGCAGATCTGACGCGTCGCAAGTCTCAGCGTCATTCACTCGGAGTCACCTTTGAAGATTCTGCCCCTATCCCTGCAAATTTGACCGTCTCTCGGCCCACATCTCTCCAAACTTCTTATTCAACCAACGACGTCCCAACAGTCAAGAAGTCTTTGACTTTGGACACAGCTCCCACGCCTCCCAAGACACAGGCTGAGCAACAGTTTCATAACCACAACGTCAGTTTGGGACGCATTCCTGCGAACGCAGTCAACAACCGTCAGAGTCGAGAAGTTGCCAACGGATCTGTCAAGCTAGAAGACAAAGCCATGTCCTCTACAGCCCCGCTGTCAAGCTTGCACGCCAGTGCAGCGCCATTCAGCACATCTTTCACCAGTACCTCAGATTCCAACGTGATGGCCTTGGCGAGCCCAACCTCGACGTACCCACCTCCGCAACCCTACATGTACAATATGCAAACCTTCAACGTCAACCAGATGAATCCCCAGGCCCCCGCTGCCGGAACCGTCCAGCCCTTTGGCCAGGCTCAGGGGATCTATGGTGTGAGCAATACGTATTCCGGCCCGCAGCGTTCTGGCACTGGTCGTCGCAACCACGGTGATGAAGCTCGATTCAACAATGTTCCTCTCGAGTCTTACCGAGGAAATCTGTATGAGCTTTGCAAGGACCAACATGGATGTCGCTACCTCCAGCGCAAACTCGAAGACGGCAACGAGGAGCATATCCAAGCCATCTTTGTGGAAACTTGTCCTCATATCATCGAACTGATGACTGATCCCTTCGGCAACTACCTTTGCCAGAAGTTGTTCGAACATTGTAACGAGGAGCAGCGAACCACTTTGATCAACACTGCTGCACCAGCTCTGGCGACCATTGCTCTTAACCAACACGGAACCCGTGCCCTACAGAAGATGATTGAATTCGTTCATACTCCATCCCAGGTCGATACCATCATCCAAGCACTGTCTCCCCGTGTTGTCGAGCTAGTCCAGGACTTGAATGGCAACCACGTGGTCCAGAAATGCCTCACTCGTCTAGGCGCCGAACGTTCTCAGTTCATCTATGATGCAGTTGGCAACTTCTGTGTCATTGTTGGCACTCATCGTCACGGATGCTGTGTGCTGCAGCGCTGCATCGATCACGCTCAGGGCTTTCAGCGGGCTCAGCTCATCGCCAGGATCACCCACTGTGCCTTTGACCTCGTCCAGGACCCGTTTGGAAATTACGTTGTGCAGTACATTCTCGATCTGGATGAAGCTGCGTTCACGAAGCCGCTGTGTGAAAATTTCTATGGTCGGGTTCCAGCCTTGTCGAAGCAAAAATTCAGCTCCAATGTCATTGAAAAGTGCTTGCGTACTGCCGACACGGATACCAAGAGAGCCATGATCGAAGAGATGCTGATGGGGAATGAGCTTGAGAAGATGCTCCGCGATTCCTTCGCCAACTACGTGGTCCAGACCGCCATGGAGTATGCGGATCCTACCACCAAGATGCGTCTCGTTGATGCCATTCGTCCTATTCTTCCCCTCATCAAGCAAACTCCTCACGGCCGACGAATCGCCAGCAAGATTCTTGGTAACGATGTGCCAGGTCGTGGCAACGCGCCTGCCAATGATAATATCCTCGCAAGTTTCAACACTGGCCGCGCGAACGGCCGCCGCAATGTTCAGATTGTGGGTGGCGGCTTCAACGGCATTCGCACTGCCGACACCTATGGTTCTGCTGATATTTCAAACAATGTCACTGCTAATGGAAATACCTATGGTTTGATGGATTCAACTGGCAACATGTACAACGCCCACAATTACGGCAATGATCTCGGGCCAAACGGCTATGCTGGCTTCATCAATGGTTCAGTTGGCGGTCCCAACAATGTCATCTGATGATTTGGCTCCGGCACCGAGACTCTCGACACGCTTACGAGTCACGAAATGATGAAAATTTGAAGATTCCTTTCTGCAAACGCATTCCTAGATCTGTGGCCTGCGTCGCCTCATCTTCATGCGTTCTTTTTCTTACGACTGTACCAATCGACACCATCAAAAAAAGCGTTCGAATTCTTAACGACACAAACATTCCACGGCCCTCACCTGTATTATGCTAAAAAAAAGGCTATTCATTGGTCCAGCATCAGTCTGGCAGGAGATCGAAGACTCATGGCGAGTTTTGGAAAGAACCTAGAGCTCTTGCATGAATGATGGCTTGGTTACCCTTTTCTCTTCTGTCCCACGGGTATGCAAGTTGGGAGGGTTAGGAGATATTTCTTTCGTGTGCATTTCTGGACAAAAAACTTTATTGGGAAAATACCAAAAAAAAAACACATGTGTCATTCAAGCAAGCATGGTACCGACACCTTCGTCTTGTATTCACGAGCATTGACTGGGAACTGGCGAAATGTTTCATTTCTACACAGAGATGGTATTGCTCATTTTGGAAAGCAGTGGATGCCTGACTGTGGTGCCGTGGAGGAATGGTCTATGTACTCAACACACCCAAGGTCTCATTTTGGCTATGTCTTTCTCAAGGGAATGCAGAGCCTGTACCATCAAACAGAGACTAGACTCGATAGCTAGAAGCAATTGTATCTTAGACGAAATCCTGGTCCTTTTAGATTGTGCAGAGCTTCAGGAGGGTTTCGTGCGGCGGTTGAATGTGGTCACCCTTGATTTGTACTGCACACCGTGGCGATGAACAACAACAGTAGCTACCAGCAGCTTCGTAGAAATGAATGAACCATGTAGTCTAGGAGCTGCTGTGCTCAGGCCCTTTTGCGGCGGCTGCGGCACTGACAGACTTGTACCACCAGTGCCTCTCCTCACCTCCTTAATGTGCGGGGAAGCGCGTCCAGATTCACGACGCGTTCAAAGTGCTCGGTAGACTTGAGGCGAACATTCGACAGGAAAGACGACTCGACGCAGCACCACCCTATCACAGTTGCCAGAGACTATGGTGGCTTTATTACCACCCGAATCACTACATTCGATCCTGCAGAAATGTCCTTGCCGGAGGCCGCAGATCCAAGAACTTGCAACATACTACAATGTGAGTTGAACTGAACTTGTCCTCGTCGCAAATAAATGTAGGATTCGATCCAAGGGCGAGACCAACTTTCTGACTCGAGAGACCTAACGCAGGATACCTTCCCCAGCCCTTCCGTCCTCGTCGCCTACGGCCTCGAAAGCACGAGCAAGACCATAGCCATCGTCGAAGTGCTGAGATGGAGAGAAATTCCGCACGGAATCGTCAAGTGCAGGGAGTGTCTCTCGCAGCGGCACCTGCTGTCCAAGATCTTTGCGGTGTGCGTCGCGGCCTTGGGACGGGAACAGGGACAGGAACAGGGGAACCAGACGGAACAGCAGTTCGACAGGACGGACAGCATCAACGCACTGGTGGGGAACTTGCGCAGGCTGTTCGAACGGGTCGTGGTGGACTCGAAGAGCAGCAAGAAGAACAAGTTCGTGGCGGTGATTGAGGACGCGGATGCGCTGAGACAACCGGGTCCAACACTGCTCCCTGCATTGGCACGGCTGGGAGATGTGGTATGTTAAAGACGAACTTACAAACGAGTTCTTGGATGAGTGATTTATTGAGCGAGCGAGCGAGCGGGTTACACCTTAAGCTAACTTGATGCCCTGTACGACAGATCCCTGGGTTTTCAGTCATTTTGACCTCGAGCTCCCCGCGACCTCTCAACCTGCACAAGACCGGGGTGCCGTGCGTCCACTTCCCGCCCTACACACGCTCCGAAGCCATCTCGATCATCGTCTCTACCCAACCGACCACGCCTTCACTCTCGCACTCAGCCTTGGCCTCGTCGTCAGGCACTTCCACCTCCACCGCCGAGACCGACCAGCAGCAGCACGCCGCGCTCCTGTCGAAGCTATACGCCCAGTTCGCGGTGACGGTGTACGACACCCTGATATCCTCGACGTCGTCGACATCCATAGACACCTTCCGGCTGGCCTGTGAGAGGCTGTGGCCGCGGTTCATCGAGCCCATCGTGTCTGGCGAGGAACCACCGGCGAGAGCCAAATCGTGGGACTTTGCGAGATTACTGGTGCGGAATCGTGGTCTGTTTCGATCAGAGGGAGAGGATGCGTTGCATAACACGTTTCCAAGGACCCCGTTGCCAGATAACCCCCCTGAAGCGGGTTCGTCTCTACAACAACAACCACGACAAGATGCGGTCAGGAATAGCAGTGCGCCAGCAACGCCATCAAAACGTGCCCCGTTAGACTCGAGCAAATCTGCAGCATCGAGAGAATCCGCCTCAAAACCGTGGCTATCACAAACATCATCATCATCTTCTTCTATAACGCGGCCATCCCTCCTGAAGCATTTCCCGACCCTTGTCCTCCTCTCAGCCTACCTCGCAAGCCATACGCTACCTAAACACGACATCCTGCTCTTCTCCCGCTTAAGCGCCACGTCCAGCTCGATCAGCAAGAAAATCCGCAGACTGAGGCAGACGCCGACAAAGAGGAAAACAACATCTACCCCGAGCGGGACGCCAACAAAGGACGCCACAACCCCCACCAAATCGCGCAACAAGTCTTTGTTTGCCGCAGGGGCGAATCTGGGTATCCCACGGCCATTCACACTTGAGAGGCTCGTCGCGATCCTGCGTGCGATCCACCCCCAAGGTATCCCCAATCGGCCAGGTCGTGGCGTGAGCGATCGGATATACCGTGAGCTTGGAGAGTTGGAAAGACTCAGACTCGTTGTACGGTCGTCTGGATCCGGCGCGGCGACTGGGGCTGGAGGGACGGGTGACGATGCAGGAGACGAGAAGTGGCGGGTCAATGTAGGTAGAGAATGGGTTGTGAATATGGGACACATGTGGGGGATGGGAGTCAGTGAGTACGAGATAGACCCAGACTCGTAGTGCCACAGACATCTGTCACCACCATCCACGGAGAAATCTAAGGAACTTGCAAGCAAGTACCCGCAATTCGTCCCTCCGCTCCGCTCGATATCCCATGGGTAACAGTAGGGGCACATTGCTCCCCGTGTCGCCGCCTCCGATCTGCGAAAGGCGTGCACTTCCTCATGGAGCATCTTTGGCCAATTACTTTGTAACACGTTGTGTATTGACAAGAAATGACCAGGCTCGAGGTGACGCCTCAGTCCTGGCCGTCTTCCACGCCCCTGCCCTGCGGGGTCCATTCGGTAATGACCCCGTCGCAGGAGACGAAGATGCTCTTTGGGCCGTCCCTGACGCGGGCGATGGCGACACAGGCGACGGAGGACTCGAAGCGGTGGTTGTTCAGCGGACCCGCGAGCGTGCGGCCCGTGCTGGCCGACCAGAGGGCGACGCAGTTGTTCTTGTAGCCGTCGGTCGAGGTGCGCAGGACGATGTTGAGCTCCGGATCGTACGCGAAGCTCACGCCGTACCAGCTGTGCTGGTGGGTTTCGGGGACGTTGAAGGTCAGCACGGCGGGGCTTGCTTTGTACGTGTTTGCCCGGGGCAGGTGGCTCTTCAGGGTCGGTGGCGGCGCGAAGCGCAGATCGTAGATCTTCACACTGCGCTGGCCGCTGATCAGAATCCGGTTGCCGTCAGGGAGCGCTGCGAGGTTGGTGACGGCGTCTGAGTGTTGGAGCCGCGTCGCCGTCGTTCGGCCGCCCTTGGTCGACGGCGGCGGTGCCCGGATGTCGCACAACAGCAGTTTTCCTGAACGCGCACCGCCCATGATGACGTTGTGGTCCTTGAAGGTCGCCCTCAGCAGCTCATTTGTGCCCATCGGGTATTCTATGAGCGGGTAGCTCGTATGTGAAAGGTCCATGAGGTATACACCGCGCTCCGTCGCCACCGCCGCCGTGTACCTGCCCGGCTGTGCAGCCAGGTTCCGTACGGTGCGTACCAGTGACGCTTGGTGAATCATGCTGTGTCTGTCCGCAAATGGGCCGGAACCACATGCTCCCACCTTGACCATCGCCTCCGCAGGGGATGCATATGCAGTGCAGTACTCGGACCAAAGGACCAGGCCTGACCCCATGGAAAGGATATGCTGGGTCCTAACTGCGTCTCCAATGTCCTCGGCATTTCTGGGCGTGTACAGTGCGCTCTGCTCATAGTTTCGCGGGATAGGCCACTTTGAAGAGTCTACCAGTTCTTGCTCCGCCACGTCAGGTTGCGATCCCAGGTGAAAACCATACATGTGCGTTCGAGGAGCCGCCCTGGTCCCGGTACTCAAGATGCAATCTGTAAACAAGGTGCCTGAAGCTTCCTCGATAGAAAAGCACCCAGAAATCAGCATGTTTTCGTTCAGATAGTCTGCTGAGCGCGGCGACAAGTCACTAAAGGCTATTTTATCCGTGAGTTGAGCAGCGTAGTATTCCGACACCAGTGCTCCAGCAGTCTTCCGCAGATTGCCCAGTCGTCTGTCAAATACCAGCAGAGGATGCTGCAAGAGTCTCGACCGCGCCACCGTTTGGGTAAGCTTCAACTGGTGTTGAAGTTCATCCTGCCGTTGGGCTTTCTTGATTATCTTCTCGGTTCTGACCGCCTGACGGCTGTACTTCGAACCCGATGGCGCCACGTGGTTTGGCTGGATTTTGAAGTAACGATTCTTCTCCACATCAAAATAGTATCCTGGCAGTTCGGCTGGCATGATGTGGCAATCTGGAGATACCGGGACTTTCAGCCTCAGATATGGTTGATAGCGATCATTGGAATTAGCGAGGCCACCACGGCGGATCGTGAGCAGATACTACTAGGACCCAAGGCGCTCGGGATATCTCTGATCATGCTCTAGAGACACCAGTGCCAGCAACAAAGAGCGATATGTACGCAAACGTAGTTGAGCGGGGAAGGAACATGAGAGGAAACGAGGGTCACTCTGCAAAGCTATAAAACATGTGGTCATAAAACGCAGCGGGCAGGCATATGCCAAAAAGGGAAAGGCGCAGCCTCGCAAGGCTTCCCGACCAAGGAGTGATTTCGGTGTGAATTGCAACAATCGCAAGGACAATCTTAATTCTTGACTCTTGATTGAATGTGAAAACACAATTGCTGTTCCGTGCCGAAGTAGCCGCTTGAATCGAGTGTAGCCGCCTCGTCGTCGACATTACACCCGATTTGAACCCAACCGAACCTCCGGTGCCAGTCTCTAATATGTATACGAGCGTCAAGAGCATCGACCTCTACTTGTTCAGCCACTCAAGAACTGTCCCCAAACTTACGGAGCCGCTTGACCATCAATCACATCCACCAACTCCGCTCCTACCCTTTACTCATCGCTGACACTCGCAAATTTCTCGCTCATCTGCTGTAACAATCGGTCATACTTCCCACTGACTTCCTCCTGATCATCCGGCAACTCGAACTTCATGCTTCTCAAGCCATGCTGGATCTCCGACGTGGCCTCCCTTACTTTCGCCCAGCTCAGTCCACTGCTGACGGCTTTTTGTGCCTCATCGTGGAACTGCATAAACGCCTTCATCATGTATTCAGTCTTCCAGAGGGGACAGAATTGATCGTAGTCACTGTATCCGTTTTGTTGGAGGAAGTCGTCTTTTAGCATGGCCGCGACGTCGAGAATGATCTTGTCTGAGTCGCCAAGGGCCGATTTACCCACAAGTTGGACAACTTGGTCGAGGTCTTCGGAGTTTGTGAGGAGTTCTTTGATGCGGTCCCTCAGACGAGGGAACTCAGGGTGGTCTTTGGCGTAGAATTTGTCGAGAATGTTAGTGTACTTGCTGTATGACAGCGAGGTATTGACGCTAGGGAAGTGTTTCCTCTGTGCGAGTTTCTTGTCAAGCCCCCAAAAGACCTGGACGATACCTAATGTGGCAGACGTGACTGGATCAGAGAAATCTCCTCCCGGCGGCGACACGGCCCCGACGATGGAGATACTACCATTGCGTTCAGGAGAGCCTAGAGCGGTGGCAGCACCTGCACGTTCATAGAACGAGGCCAGTTTCGCAGACAGATACGCCGGGAAACCTTGATCCGCTGGCATCTCTCCCAGTCGCCCAGAGATCTCACGTAGCGCTTCAGCCCATCGAGAGGATGAGTCCGCCATCATCGCTACCGCCTTACCCTGATCGCGGAAATATTCAGCTACTGTAATTCCGGTGTAGATGGAAGCCTCGCGAGCTGCGACGGGCATGTTGGAAGTATTGGCAATCAAACAAGTTCGCTTCATGATGGGCTCCTTGCGACCGTCGATGGTGATGGATAGTTCGGGGAAGTCCATCAGGACTTCGGCCATCTCATTGCCTCTTTCGCCACAGTTGTGCACGAGCATCAAGTTACCCAGGAGGAATTGATGGTCGGAATCGTCGGGCAAAGTGATGCCATAGTAGGGAGCGGCTGGTTTCTTGACGACATCGAAGTAGACGGGCTGGGCCTTGCGCTCAACACTTGTTGGGGCGGCAGTTCTGTTGCTTGAGAGAGCACATTTGCTCAGGACTGATTCAAGGATTCCAGTGGCAGTCATGTAAACACAGAAGGCCTTCTCCTCTTCGGTGGAGACGCTGACGCACAAGCCGAGGGAGCGAGCGACACGAACGAGTCCCTCGCAAACCCCTGGGTAGACGGTCTTTACAGTTGCACTCTGCTCGCGATCGTTGAGCTCGACCTGCCCTTGAGAGTCGATCAAACCTGCTAGGAAATGCTCCCTAACTTCGAAAGACTCGGAAGAAAGCCAGAGCGGGACCATTTTGAGCTGGTCATCGGAGGAACCACGGACACCAGTGGCTAGAACCATGTCCCAGAAGACATTGTTGGTGTTCAGCCCCTTGGTCGAGCTGGTATTCATGCCTTTGCCTCGAAGCTCGACAGCTAGGTCATCGCCCTCGTGAAAGTTGAATCCGAGATTCTTAGCAACTTCGAGTGCAGCGGAGATAGAGTTGGCCGGTCGAGAATGATTGACATTGACTTCACCCAAAACCGTTCTTTTGCCAGGGGCGAAGGTGACCAGTTCAGACTCCAAGTCAAACATCTTGCCGTACTCTTCGAGGCGGTCAACTAACTCTGCGTCTTCTGGATCGACCGACATCCTCGAATCTGCGTGATGGCCATTCCCGACCCAGGATCCAAGCAGATAGGCCATCTGAGGGGCGAGATGACCATCGAAGCCCTTCTGGGCAAGGCGGGAGTTGAGCGTCTCGTTTTGGAGGAAGATGGGGGAGATGAGCTGCTGGGTCGCCTCGCGGACATGAACATCGACGTAATCAATGTCGCGGGCTTCGATAGCCCAGTGGAAATCATCGCGTGGTATACTGGCAGCAAAGTCCTCAGCGAGGCTGCGAGCCCTTTCGCTGCCGCCATGAGAGTCGTGTTGGAAGGACTTCGTGTATTGCTTCAATTCGCGGACGACATTGACGCCATCTTCAGTAGCTGCTTGGCGAGTATCAAAAGCAAAGAAGGACACACTGGATTGCATCTTGCCTTCGAGGTGATGATCGACGATGTTGACACGTTGGGGAGTCTGAAGGACCAGAAGATGCATGGCGTTGCAGGTATACGAGACTTCTCGGAATGTCTCGTTCTGATGCTGTGTCTTGATACCGATTTCGTACATGGTCTCCTCACCTCGGGGAAGAGCTTTGACGACGCGAGCTTTACCATCCTTTCCCATTACAGAATCGCCGACAGCGATGTCTTCGATGTTCATATTAGTTCCATCAGCCATCATGACAGGCGTGCCAGCAGCGAAACAACTGTGAATTTTCGTCAGTAGATGTATCCCTCAAAGGAGAGAGCAACTTACCCAACATAGACGATGATATCACTGTTGGAGAATTTGGAAACGGACTGGGAAATGACAGTTTTACCGCAGCCAAATGCACCAGGAATGCACACAGTGCCTCCTTGGACTGAAGGGAAGAGGGCGTCGAGGACTCGTTGCCCGACAATGAAAGGCGAATCGGCCTGTAGACGTTCGTTGACAGGTCGAGGAACCCGGACGGGCCATGAGTGCATCATTGGGTATTCCTTGGTCTCGCCATTGAACTCGACCGTAAGCAGAGGTTCGTCGACAGTGTAGTCACCCTTAGGGGCGATCTTCTTGATTGTGCCTCTGGCTCTTGGGGGTAAGAGAATTCTGTGTTCGTTGACCAGACTGTTCTCAACCACTTTGCCCCAGACATCACCACCACTGATATGATCTCCTTCCTTCATGGTGGGGGTGAAGGGCCATTTTTTCTCTCTATCCAGAGAAGGAACGGAAATGCCGCGGGGGATGTAGATGCTGTTTGTATTGCCAGCAATGGTCTTGAGCGGTCTCTGGATTCCGTCGTAGATTGTTTCCATGAGACCAGGGCCGAGCTCGACGGATAAAGGTTTGCCAGTTCGCAGGACAGGATCTCCAACGGTGACACCAGCTATAGCACAGTCAATGAAGGGCACCAGAGTCAGTTGAAACGGGTGCCGACATACCAGTCTCCTCGTAGACCTGAATCGTCGCCTTGTCGGCCTCTATGCGAATGACTTCGCCCACCAGTGCATCATGGCCGACTTTGCAGAGCTCGTACATGGCGACCCCGATCATGTTCTCGGCGACAATGACCGGACCAGAGACGGAAAAGACAGTTCCATTCTGGTGGTCATCGCCGATACCACTCTCCTTTGAAGCGGGCATCCTTCTGTATGTGCGAGCAGTTGTGTGTAGGGTCTGGAGTGGTTGTGGAAAGGCAAAGACGGAAGAGCTGTTGTCGGAGCTGGGACCCGCAAGCTCTCCCTCGTCTAAATCGTCCTCGATAAGATCGGGGAGGCCAAGCTGCAGGTGAAGGTACTTAAGATCCGATACAGTAGCAAGGTCGTCAATACTCTTGCCAGTTATAAATTCAATCACCGACTTTTTACGTTTGAGGCGAGGGCGACCAAATCCAAGCATATGAAATCATCTTCTGCGGGAAGCTGTTTAGGTGCACTTTTGAATTTCGGGGGGTCGGGGTAGGCTGCTGCGAATAAGTTGCAGGCACACCTGGTGAGTTGCGCTTCAAAGTTTCGCCGACGCTGGGAATGTAGTAGTGAAGATACTGTCTTGGAAGCATTCCTTAGTTGCGGAGGAGGATGACCTACTGTATCTACTGAGGACCTGTATATACTTGGTACACTTCGATATCCCACCGACACTCGCCGAAGATGTCTGTGATTGACTCTCGCATAGGACCTTGATACCTGATCTCTCGCTTTCGAATCTGACCCAATGCCCCGTCATATTGGCCGAGGCTTCCCCTGCAGCTGCCAGCTCCCAGCTCCAACCAATGACCCCAACCCCACCCAAAGCAGCGTCTGCCAGCCTTGAACGCTGCTGCCAACGCCTGGCACCACATCAACCTGGCGGAGTTGCCACATGGCAAAATATCAATCATCGTGGAGGGTTGTCTGCGGACTCGTTAAGAGGCAAGAAGGGGCCCAATTTGTTTGCGCGCAGGACAGGGAACCATGGTTCCTAGAATGTGAACGCAGCGTCTTATCTTGGTGCATCATGTTGTCAGGCTCCAAAGCTTGAAAGGAAGGGGAACGAACGTGGGATGGTGTGAAACCGGCCTGGCAGGTGCAGGTAAGTAGTTTGGGTGCTGGAATGGTTGGTCACCAGTGTCGGTGTTAACGAGTGACCTTGGAAGAGTAGATCAGGTGGTTCACGTAGTCTAGGTGCGG